GGGGGGCAGGGAGGCAGGGTAACTTGCCCTAAATCGCCCTAAATTGGCAGCAGGGCTGGGACCAGAACCCAGGATTCCAGTGATGCAGGATGAGGAGCCAGCATCCTCTTCCACAGTTGTGCATCTGTGTAGAGGGGCTTAAGTGTCTGGCTGGGGAGAGTGCAAAGCTGTGTGTGCTTTTAGGAAATGACCTCGTGAACTCTGATGCCTGCCCGAACTACCCTTCCCCTGCAGACCTAAATCTTCCCACCCTAAGGCTCAGAGTGAATGCACTCCCCTAGGATATATCTCATCACCCCCGGCCCATCATGATTGTCCCCTTGGCACTCAGCTTCTGTTCCTTGGTGCAGAATTGCACGTGCATCTGAGCACCTGCCTGGGCTGCAGATGTGGTGACTCCCAGGAACGCTGTTTGCCCCTGTATCTCTTGAATTCAAGACTGAGTTCTCTTGGGTCCTTCAGGCTGCACATCAGCACAAGTAAAGGTTAGACACACAAGAGGACCAAATCAGATGCTCTAAATCACTTGGCCAATTGGTCCAGTGATATAAAGACTCTAACTCCTTATGTAGAAGGAAACTCAGATTTTTGGCAAAGCTGGAAGGTCTTGGCCAAGACCCAACAGTCATCTTTTGAGCCTCAGACTGCCCTTAACCAGTGGTATGATGGTAAACATTGAACAACCAGTTCTCTGGTGCTGGTGTGGGCAATAGCCCTGACTTATAGTGTTTGCTGATTACTGTGGTATAAACATTCCCACGATGAACAATTTCAAGCCAACAAAGTGATGTCACACTAGCTGGGAAGAGATGCATAGTAGCAGGATATGCTATTTACTAGTATATTTTATAGCAAACAGCCTTATATAGAATTCCCACCATACATAGATGTAAATAACCCCAAGGGCATAGATAATAGTAACGTAGTAAAATAATTAGGAAATTTTCAGTTTTGAGTACTACTTTTGTTTTTAATATAATTCACTCAATTGTAGGCTTATAAAGTTTAATTTTAAAAAATTTGTGGGGGAGAGATAATCAGGTATAAATAAATTTAATTATTTTTAGTGGGGTACTGGAGATTGAACCCAGGATCTTTTGCATGCTAAGCATGCACTCTACCACTGAGCTATACCCTCCCTCAGTTTAAATTTTTAATGACTGCTTAATAGCTCATAAAATTCCTGAAAATTTAATAATCAGTTCTTATGAGCTATAACAGCTGGCCTTCCCAGGAGAAATGTCCTTGGGAAGATCAGTATCCCAGAGTCCCTGTTTCTAGGGGAGGAGAGCCCCTCTCTGGTACCTTGCTGTGGGGTATGGGTGGGTGAGTGTTTGAATCTTCTGGTTGGCCTCTGAGGGGCCAGAAAACCTGCAGCAAACGAGGAGCCCTCTCTCCAGTCATGTTCTGTTCTCTCAGGACAAGAACCCAATCACAGAGGCCAGAGTGGGTTGGGGGAAGGTACCCAGGTTCTAGTCCCCAGTCTTCCCCATTTCCTAGGCCCGGATCTTAGGTTCATTGCTAGTTTCTTGAATCCGTTTCCTTAGTTGTAAAGTGGGGTAACTTACCACCCGTGCTGCCATTATCTGGGGCTCTGGTGAGGATGAAAAGCAGAAAGGGCTGTGTAAGCAGGAGAGATCCACGCTGTTGGGAGTTATAGAAGAGAATAGGTCAGGCTGCAGGAACAAGTTCTCCTGGTGTTCTCATTTACAGACTCAGTGAGCATAGACAACTTACTTGGCCTTCTTAAACCTGTCTTCTCGTCTGTAATATGGGAGGCTGAGGTGTGTGTAGAAATGGTCCACTGACCTCAGATTATTGCTGAGGATCAAATATGGACCTACATCTCATGTTCAATGCCTTGATAAATACTGCCTTTATTATCATTGCCTATATCCAGACCCACAAAAATAAGTCCTTCTCTAAGGGTTTTACACAAACCTCCCAAAGGCCACCAGCTTGGTCAGAAAGGGGAGGAGGTGTGTCCAGAAGAGTCCATCCGCAGGAACACCAACCCCCTCCGCAGCTCCAGATGGTCCTGCCGGCTGTCCCCTCTCGCCCTCAGGAGCCAGGGCAAGCTGGCAGCTGGGCAGTGGATGGAGAGCCCAAAGACAAACTTTTCATGATTCCAATACTAGGGTGTTCTGTAACATTTTCCATTGGGACTGGGTATCTTGAGCCTTAGTGGGAAGACGTGCAGTGGAAGGTTAAACTGTGGCAAGAAGCGAGCTTCTCCAAAGTCAGGAGAAACTTCAAATCCAACAAAAACCCTCTTCTCCCCATCACAAGCCACAAAAGCTTTTTTTTTTTTTTTAATCTCCTCTGAGGAAGTGTGAAATGCTCTTGCAAGGAGAAGATACAAAGAAGGTCCAACTAACTCCTGGTTATTTTACAATGTTTCCAAGCGGGTACACTGTTCTGAAGCAGGTATGACCTGCCGTTTCAGCACGGAGGGGCTCTGGTAGGTGAAAGCTGTCTGGGTGTGGGGGCTTCTGGGGGCCTTATGACAAGAGGAGAGGAGATAAAGGAGCTCCTGAGGAAATGGTGTCCGGTTCACCTGCCACCATGTTACTTCCCTGCTCAATACACCCTTCTCTGGCTCCGATTCCCCTTTGAAAATTTCTTCCTGCAGCAACTCGTCACTGTCTGACGGCCAGCTAGTTAATTTCATGGGCTCTGGAGTCAACAGATGTGGGGTCTAGTCCTGGCTCTACCACAGGTCCCCCAGCTTTGTGACCTTGGATCAGTTAATAAACTCCCCTGAATGCTTCATTTCCATGAATACAGCAGGAATACTTACAGTCCATACCTGAGAGGGCTGCTTTGAGGCTAAAATGAGAAAGTGTAGGTAACATGCTTAGATAACACCTGGCGTTCTATAAATAGTCCATAACCCAAAGACAAATTACAATCTTTTTATTACCAGCTTACCTCTCCAGCTTCATTGCCTGTCACTTCCCAGAATGCAATTGTCTAGAGGGATGAAGTTCCTCGCAGCTTTAGACACTGCACTCTCCTTTTTCAGGCCTCCCATGTTTTTTTGTGCTTGGCACACAGTAGGCACTCAATACGCTGCAGATTGAAATTTACCTAGAATTCCCTTTATACCTTTCTTCACCTGGCAAACTTCAGAGTTTCCTGCTCCAGGAAGGCTGCCCTGAACCCCCAGGTGGGCTATATCCATGCACACATGCTTACCATGTGCTACTAAAACTGTTCATGTGCCTTTCTTCCTCACTAGACCATTGTGAGCTCTTCTAAAGAGAAACCAGCTCTAAGGCATACTTGCATTCTCAATGCCTAGGACGTAGTAGGTGCTCCACAAATGCTCAGCTCTTAAGCAAGGCCAGTCACTTGCCCCCAGGCTGGAAACTGCATCCCCAACACCTCCCAAGACCCACTGCCCTTCCCAGCAGGTCCAGTCAATAGTCAGCCAGACTCACTTCCCGCTCCTTCTCAAGTCAAACTTTGGTTTTTGTCCCTTGGCTGAATATAAAGGAAACTGGAGAATGGAGAGTTTCTTGAATTCTTGTTCACCAAAGCTACTCTGTTTTATGCTTCAGGGCATTGGTACTGTCTCTGCCTGAACTTGGTCACTTGGGGCAAGAGATAGCAAATGCTGTATGTCATCAGAAACATAAGGAACTCAGTGACCCAGGAGCCTGGGGCGCAGTGAGGGGGCCCTATAGACCTGGGCAGTGAGAGTACATGTAGGGCCTCTGGCATGTATCTAAGACTTGTCCCATTTTGTTTTTGTGCCACTTGGACATTAGCTTAAAGAAGGCAAAAATGATATATTCTGCCAGTTCCTTCCAGTGGTCCCCTGGGGTTGCCCAACAGTTTAAGAAGGAACTAGGCAGCAACCATCCCATTGGAGTCACTGAAGGGCCAGGGCAGTGTCCTCCAGCTGAGGGTCAGATGGGGCGGGGGCACACCTGGCTTGTACCAGACTCTCAGCAACGACTGGGCAAACGCCAGGGCTAGAGAAAACAACACTCTCTGCCAGCATCCCTCGCTGGCCACTTGGGGGCACTCCACTTGGGGAGGCAAGAACCCCTATGGGAGGGTTCCAAAGATGCTCCATCCCTTGCTTTGCCCACCTGCATGTGGCCCAAAGAGAAGTCTCGCTGGGTGGGGGTGGTCCCCTTCCTGGATAGAGCCAAAGGCTGTTCCTTTTCACAGAGCAGGGATTTACACTTGACTCAAAGTGCTCAGGACAGTCTTCAAAGGAGGGTAAAATGACGAGTCTTAGGAAAGAGCCATGGACCTATGGCAGACGTTGGCACACCAGTGGTTCCTACACAGCCTAAAAGCAGTTCTAAGGTCCCTACCTGGAACGCAGGACCTCAGACTACCTCCCACGACTCCCTGCATGTCTGACTCGTACTGCTCACCTCATCTTAACCTACTTCACATTGTGGATTAATTATCTCACACGGGTTTGTTTTGTCTTATCAACTATCATTTAACTTCTAGAGGGCAGGGGCCTTGTCTTGTACATTTCTTCCACATTCTCCTTAGCATCTAGCACAGTGCTGGGCTCCAGGCAGGGACTCCATCACACAGATTTGGTGTATTAAATTAAGAGGCCAAGAGCCCATCCACAATTCTGCCATGCCAAGAAAAGTGATCTCCCTGAATGCTTGCTTCCTTTTAAACGTTATGTTTTAGCTTTGGGGGTCTCTGACAAAACTTGTCTCTGCTTTTGGGAGTCTGATTTTAACCTGTTTCTGGGACTTGACAAAGTATTCCACACATCAGAAAGATACCGTGGGAAGAGGGAGGGTTCTGGGGGGAATTTCCTCAGGTCCAAGTGTGCCCTCAGCAGCACATCAGCCAGCTTGCCCTCGGCCCAGGAGTCTGTCCTCCCGGTGACTTAGCCTCCGGGTGAAGAAGGGAAGAGCACCTGTGGTTAGGAATCTCGACGTGCGACTCCCTGAAGTCTGAGGAGGAGGAAAAAGGAACATGTTGTGGTGAAGGAAAAAAAGAGCAGACGGGTCTTGGGGATTGGTTTTATTTGGGCTTCTCACAGTGGTTAGAGCCACTCTGTCTTCAGAACAATCACAGCACAGGAAATGCATCACCGAGACTGCCCAGAGAAGTCTGACCAGCTGAATCTTATTGCTTAAAATACACATATTCACAATAACTGACAAAGGATGATGTGCCTCACACAGGAATGTGTTAGCATTTGCAATCTTCTGACTGTAGCACCAAACCCTCAACCAACCCCTTTCTTCTCATTCATCTGGAAAACCAGACTCAATCAACTCTCCCCGGCCCCCTCATGAGTCCTTCAACTCCTTATTTCCATCTTTCTGCGCACAGGGTAGCCTCGTGGGGCAGGGGCCGGACTGTGACCACTGGAACCAAGCCCAGGGGCACCCGTTGTTTTCTTCTTCTCGTGCCTCTAGGGTAGGACGCTGCAGCCAACCCAGCAGTTAACACTCGGACCAGCTCCCCACTCTACCTAGAGAAGGAAACTTGAGAGGGCCAGACTTCATGTAATGCTCAGTTAACCGAAGCAGGGTTCATTTTGGTAAAACTTGATCTCCTTTGAGACACTTCAGTGAGTTGTTTGGGATTTATTAAAAAAAAAAAAAAAGGTGGGAGGAAAGGCATCTGAGGGCTGCTGGCACACTCCTGCCCACTGGACCTCAGCAGAGGGAGGTGAGCCCTGCGGCGCTGCGGTGTCTGCCAAACCCGCCCGGCAGTTCTGGGCAGGGCCGACGTCTGGGCCGCAGCCAGTCCAGGCTTGTCACTGAAGAGCCAATCCAGCTTCTGTCTGAGGTTCCACTTTGGCCTTCTGTCCCGAAGGGTTGTGGACACCCCCGGGGCCTGACGCCAAGGACCAGGAGCAGCCGAGGGAGGCAGACAGGCTCAGAGCTCATTTCCATGTACGGGGAACAGAACACAGGCCTCCGAGTGTCCACGGAGCAATGTGCAAATTGCAGTGATGGGTAGAGTAAAACCTCTACTTTGAGCACAGTATCTCTGGCAAACATAGGGGCTGCTGTCAACAGCACTGCTGAGTACACCCGAGTGCACAGTCAGACATTTGCTCAGTAAACAGTAAATGCGTAAAATAAATTACCTTGAGAAGGCCGCGCCTGCTCCAAACTCGTGTGTAACATGAGCAGAGTGGCTGCCGTTCAAAGTAGATTCACAGGAAAACAGGGCTGGGGGCTCACACACGACGGACAGACACACACAGGTTCTCCAAATAGTCACTGTATACGGACTGCATTTTGTTCAACATGGATTTTGGTTTTGTGGACTCCAAATGCAGACACTCGTTCACCTCACAGCCTTGGATTTGTCTATTTTGTGTGCGTGTGTGTGAGTGTGTATGTATAAGTACACATACACGGACACACATACGTGTATATTCATATATATACATATATATTTTTTCCTTTCTTACCATAATGTCAACGCCTAGTCTGAGTATGATCGTTCAGGAGTCGGGGAAGAACCACAGTCTTCATAAGAACAGGGCTGGACAGGGAATGTTAGTTTCGGCAGTTTGCTTTCTCCATTCAGATTATTTCTATCAAAGCTCCACCGGTTATCTGAAGCCAAACTACAATAACAAGGACCCCGTGGTCCTTCAGGATGGCTGCCTTCACCCTCCTACCTGGGTCACTTAGACTCTTGACATAGGCTACAAAAATTAGTTACCCCACTCAGGGTGGGGCTGGGGTGGTAGGAAAAGAGCATGAAAACCACAGATAACCAAGGCATTTTTTCCAAGTGGTCAGTTTGAAAACAAACAAAAACAACTTAATCAGAATCAAGAGAAAATACTGTGTGAGAATCAGGCTGTGGGGCCACCCTCTTAGGACCCAAAGCCTCCTCGTTTGTTCGCAGAGAACGTGAGATATGAAGGCCAGCAGACTGTGTGCTTGGGGGTGGGGGAGGGCACTGGTCACCTGTGGGCACAGATCAAGGGCTGCTCCTCTATCCGACCCCTGCACGCACAGGGCCTCCTGCTCACCCGCAGAAGTTCCAGCCCCTACCCGCGTTGGCACACCACACATTTCCTACTGGCTCCGCTGTAGCCAGGTTCTTTGAAGGCCAAGATGGGAAAGAGCCACACACTTCCCTTTTCCAAAGCTGAATTCTTGCCTGCCCATTGGTCAAGTTCTTGTTTTCAGCTCATTTTTGTTGTTGTCGTTGTTTTTTAAAAAAGAGAAAAACCAAAGAGAAGGCAGGTATAACCTTCCACACCTGAACCAGTCTGCAGTTAGCCAGAACCTGCTGGGACGGGGCCCCTCCAGGATGCGCGGTGGCACCTCAATCTTGTCACCTGGAATTTGATAACAAAACAAGCCTCTTACGACCCGGCACAGGAGCCGCCCAGTTCTGGCTCGGCAGATGCCAGCAGCGAGGGGTGATAGCCCCTGGGCCTTTGTGGGCTTCCTTCTTCACCTGGGGCTAAGCCCTGCCGCCTCTCCCAGACTGAGACATGGCGAGGTCCTCTTAAACTAACACCAGAGCAGAATCCACTCCATCACCAAGAGTCACCTCAGCACACAGTCTCACCCCACTCCTCAGGGGCTTCTGAAACACACATCTCTCTGACCAGAGCAGGTTAGTGAGACATGACTTGAAAAGAGGTAAAGGGGGACAGGGTGGGGCATGAGGAATGAGTCACAGAACGAACAACTTCTCAGCCCTCCATGACACTGTGCTTCTGTGGGGGGCGAGGCACCCACACCCCAAACTGTACCTGGAGATGCAGGAAAATGCAGGAGCAGAGGGGGAAAAAAAGGAACACAGTCAGTCATTTAATGCTTCTCTCATGGTTCTCCCCTACCCTGGTTGCTTCACCGAGTTCTCGGGTGTAGGCAGGGCCTGCTCTAGCTGGGGGAGCTGCTGCTCTGGGAGTTTGGGGAGTCCTGCTCATTGATGGTGTTCAGCAGCAGGCAGGCAGGTGGCCGTGGCAGGTGGGGGTGCCCGGACTCTCGGGCCTGCTCCTCGGAGGGCTGGCAGAGCCCTTCCTCCTCGTCACCAGGGGGCCGCACGTGGCAGCTGTCGCAGAAGTCCAGGGGCCCGTCCAGAGCGTCGTCGATGAGCGTGTTGAACTCTTTGAGGTCGTCGTCATGGTGGCCCCGGTTGCACACACACACCTCGATGCCCGAGTCACCCGTGAAGCGGCGATGTCTGCCAGGGGTCTTGTCTTTGCTGTCGGGGAGGGCGCTGCCCTGCTCGGAGCTGTAATCTTTCAGCAGCTCCTCCTTACATTCGGAATCCTTCTCCAGGAAGGCCCCAGGGTCTTCCTCCCCTAGGGCGGCCACAGAGCCGCTGGGCTCCATTCCAGGGGCTTTGGTGGCTGCTGGGTCTATGCTGGAGGGCTCAGGGTCAGCGATGCTTGGGGGTCTCGTGCTGCTTCTGCTGGGCCCAGACAAGGGGCTGCTCTGTGCCCCCTGGGAGCCCCTGGTGGGATCGGCGCCTGGGGGGCTGCTGCCTGCAGGGCCACACTGTGCAGGCAGCTGCTGCTGCTGCTGTAGCTGGAAGGCACTGTATGGTGGGGGAGGAGTTGGAGGTCGGTTCACCACTTCCTCATAAGGAGGTAGTAAATAGTTTGGCAAAAACCCTAAAATGGGGAGGTAGGGAGGAGAAATTACTGCACTGGCAATTGTTCTAGGACAGACTGCAGGCTCACACTAAACATATGTCTCTTCCCACCCCCAGCACACCCACCAAATGATGGCTACAGCTCTCTGTTGCAGGAAGGGCACAGGGCTGTGAGCGACTTTGCGGAGAAAGAGGGACAGATTGAGAGTGACTGTACCTAGCTTCTTGAAATCTGAGAGCCCCTGAAGTTCCTTCACAGGCAAGGACTTCTCCTAGTCTGGAGTTAAGGCAGAGGGTTAGGCAAATGTGGTGACTGGCCGAGAGATTTCTGCCTGGAGGGGACCTGTTTCCACATGCAAGCAAGTCTCATGTTTCTTGCTCAGACTGTGGCCTCCAGCTGCGTCCCACAGGTCTCAGGGTCAGGGACTCTAACTTAAGACTTCCTGACCACCTTTTTTTTTCTCCCTCCCTCCCCCTTTCCAGATGTCTACCATGAAAAGGGCCTTTTTCTGAGAGGTTAGAAATCTGTGTTGTCTCTTACCCTAGTGTGACTAGAGGTGGTCTGGAAGGATAAACCAAATCTCAGCTTGATTCAGATTCAGATCGAGCTGACTAGCCTGACCAGCGAAGTGTGAAGGGTCTGTCATTGAGGCTTATTAAAAATATGCCAGCCGAGTTATCTTTTGCCTTAAGGCACAGATTATTATAATATAAGAATAACTACTAGCATTTATTGAGCACTTACTATATGCCAGGAACTGTGTTAAGCACTAAACCCTTCTAGATGTGAAATTCCACACTTATGACTCTATTCTGCAGAACACACTGCAAAATGGCTTTGGACAGGCTGCACTGCAGGGCCTCCACTGACCCTGGGGTGTAAGGAACCCCAGGGAAGGCAGGTGAGTGTATCCTTCAGTGAGTCACCGAGTTCCTTGGGTTCTCAGGAAGTCCCAATGTCACCCCCCACACCTGCCCCTTTCGAGGCAGTCTCTCTGCTCAGGCATATCACATGGCAGGAAGCAAAACGAGAGGTTTTCAGGCCACTGAATACTAAACCTCGATTCATTCACATCATACACCATCCAACTACCTGCCTTAAAAAACCTGCTTAAAGGAGCAGAATCCAGCCGGTGCGGACTGGAATGGCCGAGTGGCTTCAGGAGCTGCATCCACAGCACTGGCTCCTCTGCGCTAAAGGTGAGTGCCCTCTAGTTCCCGGACTTGTGAGGCCCTTCTCTGTGTGGGGCGAGGGGGCCAACCCCCTAAGCCCGCAGGCCCTGGCCAGAGGAGCACTTTCTGTGTGTCCCAGGTCCCAAGGGTGGGGTTTGATGGCTTCTGATGTACGTACTGAAATAAAATGGCAGCGCTGAGTAATTGTGGGCTTCCCGGTAGGCGATCAGGTTGATTTCATGTTGCCGCTGTTGGGCCTGAAGGCGGTGCTTGGCTCGGCGATGGTGACAGACACAGCAGCAGCTCAGGATGATGATGATAGTCCACACCAGCCAGAACCCTGGGGGCGGGGAGGCAAAAGAGAGTGAACACACACACAGTAAACACCAGCTGGAAGGGGCGGCCCCGGGACAGTGCTTGCCTGGTCAAAGCTGGCACTGTCGGGCTCGCCAGTTGAATTTACATTTAGAACCTGTGTTCCAATTTTCATAGATGTTTGTACCACAGTGAAAGGCACGTGGGATGGAAGAGGGCAGGAATGGAAGAACGGTGACTGGAAAAGGGGTCCCTTACTCCAGGGCGCCTCCAGGCCCTTGGGGTAAGGGAAGAGTGCCGAGGCATCTGTCTGGCACCACTGGTCCTCCTGTACTTCAGGTTTGGTGGGCAGGAAATATGCTTACCTTTTAGGACACTGTGCCCTTCCTCTCTTAACAGATCTCTGAGAAAATGCTTCCTCCCCTCTTGGTGCCCACCTCCCTGCACCAGCCCTGCTCAGGCCCACAAGGACCACTCCAGGCTCACCTCCTGCTCCTAACAGCAGGCTGCTCACCAATAGTGCAGAGCCCCTCAGAACCCCCACCATTCAGCATGCGGGCAGCTGCAGAGGGCAGTCCGATAAAGAATTTTTCTCTACCATGTATGCCCCTGTCACAGAAGAGTCAGTGAAGTTAGAGGTGGAAAAATTCTAATTGCCTCAGGTCCATCTCTTCCCTGGAGAGTGTAAACGACTTCCTCCGCTCTCTCTATAATCCGGTACAATTCCATCTCCCACTGTCACAAATGACCCACTCCCCCCTCCCTTTGGCCTGCAGCTGCTTTAGACTCAGGACCATTAGTGGCCTCCCCATCTTGTTCCTTGCTCCAGAGCAGGGTAGAGGGATGGAAGAAGCCCACAGCCCTCTCTCCCCGGGTGGACTGTTTCTTCTAATTTCCCACTGTGTTCTCTTGGATCATACTCTGAGAATCCTGGCAAACCCCCACTAAAAGATCCCCCTCCCCAATCTCCACCAAGTATGCAGAAAAGCTTCCAATTTTTTTTTTAATGAATGAGCAAGTTTGCTTTTAAAAAAATATAAGATACAGAACAAAA